GTGAGGTAGGTAGCCCAGTGCTCTAACCATTACACCACACTGGCACTGACATTTCATTGTAACATTGAGCCAGGAGCTCAATGGAAACAGATCCAGCCATAAACAGTCAAGAGGACAGCAGCTGTCTGTCCATTCATCTGCTCATCAGTCCACCTGGGTCAGATCCGTCCCATGGCTGGATCCACCCAGATGGTTTGGAATAAGATATGCAGACATTAGAATGACATCACTTGGTTGTCACATGAACCAACCTTGGCAGACTTTGCTTCAGGCACCATTTCAGTTCAGATTTCTCTCACTTCTTTGCCTAGTGAATCTAATGACATCTTTATGGTTTGATGACACCTGTTCCTTTATACTATACTCAGACAACGGCTTTATCATTTACTTGTCTTCTTCAATGACTTACTTTGGCTAACATGCCATTGGGACAACTCCATGCCTGGATGAAAATTCAGCCCCATTCCCTGCCTCACCCAATGCCAAAGGCCTGTTCCATTAGCTTGTGTTCAATCCTCTGTTGTCCTCTAGTGTACAGTTAGAATATTAGCTCTTGATTCAGAAGCCAGGAAAATGAACTCCCAGCAGCCCTTCCGGACGCGGTGTAATTCATTACCTACCTTGATTTCCACTTAAAATGTACTTTAACTACACTTCCAGCTACAAACCCTAAATCACCCCCGTGTTCACAAAAAGTCCATCATTTTTTATTTTATCGTGCAGCGTTGGCATGACATAATCCCTTCCTGAGCGTCTCGAAGTGCTTTACGGATCAATAAATTACTTACCTACGCACGTCAGAGGCAATGTATGCAAGGCCACTGCAGTTCCTCTGCACTCAGACGGCTCACTTGGAAAGGCTGGAGTCTGCGCCAGACACCGTGGAGGGAATCCTAGAGGAGGAGGAATCTAAGGAAAGAGGGGTGGACCTCAGAGCAGGACCAGCAAAGGGATTTTTTGCTCCATCATGCAGAGGCTTCCAAAGCCATGGGTGCCCTGATCATATCAGCTCAAAGCCCCCGTTCATCTTGTGCAAAATAACTGTGAAAGTGAGTACACAGTGTTTTAAGACACCAGTCACCTGGCATGATGACAGCTGCAGCCATTCTTGGATCAGGAGAACCAATGTGGCGTAGTGGTTAGAATATTGGGCTAGGACCTGGGTTTGAATCCCCACTCAGATATGATGCTCCTTGGGCCAGTCCCTGCCTCTCAACCTATCCTACTTCACAGGGTTCTTATGGGGATTAAATGAGGAGGTGGAGAACCCTTGGAGAAAAAGGTGGGATATAGATGCAAAAATAAATAAAGCAATAAAACAATAAACCATTTTAGTTAAGCACTGGTGATTTCAGAACTGGAGTACTGCAGTACAATCTAAAGTGGGGTTTCCCTTGCATTGGTTCCGGAAAATGCAGTTAGTGCAGAATGCTGCATCATGATTCCTCAAAGGAGTGAAGCTCTGTCAGACACCCACCCCCCCCCGCTCAGAAATCTGTACTGGTTGCTGATTTGCTACTCAGCCAATTCCAAGGTGTTGCTATTATTATATAAAGTCCTCAGCAACTTGAAACCAGTTTGCTTGATGGATCACCTTAGCCCATTTGTGCCCACTTGACCACTTTGGTCTGCGCAACTGGCACTCTTACAAGTGCCATATAACATTTGCTTCACAGCTGCAGGGAATTGATCCTTTTTGTGTGCTGATTAATATTGGGAGGTGCCTTTGTTGGACCATTTTCAACACTTTCTTAAAAACCTGTTGTTTCTTTAGGAAGGCATTCCCAAACATATAAATTGTGGTTTAGAACCTGTTGGTTCCATTTACTGTACTTTTCAGTTTCTAAGACTATGTTTTTTTCCTTTAAAAATCATGCTAAAAAGTGGGGGTCGTCTTATACATGGGTATTGCACAGGGTGAGGGACACGGGTGGCGCTGTGGGTTAATCCACAGGAATTGCCGATCAGAAGGTCGGCGGTTTGAATCCCCGTGATGGGGTGAGCTCCTGTTGCTCAGTCCCTGCTCCTGCCAACCTAGCAGTTTTAAAGCACGTCATGTGCAAGTAGATAAATAGGGACCACTCCGGCGGGAAGGTAATTGGCATTTCCGTGTGCTGCTCTGGTTCGCCAGAGGCAGTTTAGTCATGCTGGCCACATGACCCGGAAGCTGTCTGCAGACAAATGCCGGCTCCCTCGGCCTATAGAGCGAGTTGAGTGCGCAACCCCAGAGTCGGTCACGACTGGACCTAATGGTCAGGGTTCCCTTTACCCTTTATTGCACAGGGTGGATGTTTGATCAGTTGCTGCCAAGGCTGTCAGCGGCTATTGCACATGTTATTGGTTGCTGTGTCAATGGGTGGTGTTGATTGGCTAACGCTCCAGCAGTTGGACAAGCGATTGGCAGCTTCTGCTGGCAATGCGACAGACGATTTTGTGGGTGAGAAATTTTGCAGTCCCCCCCCCCAATAAAAGCTCAACAACCCTGGACAATCCAAGCTCAACAACTCAGTACCATCTCCCCCATTTTCTGAAATCTGAGTCCCCCCAAATAGATGGAAAAGTACTGTATATTTTGACATGTTTGTGACATCTACTGGTTTTCAAAGTCTGTAAATTTTATCAGTATTTCTGCATGAATATTTCATATTATTATATGCCAATCACTTTTTAAAAAGTAAGTGGTATGTAAATCTTGTTAGATAAAATTAAATATGAAATAGCACCACCCTGTGATTATGTAGGGTTTCTTTCTACATATGAAATTGGGCATGGAATTCTGGGATAACAAGGGATCATTGAATCCTATAGTTCTAAGGGGCTTCAAATGTCATCCAGACCACTGCTGCAGCATCCCTGATAGTTGGTCATCCAGGCTCTGCTTAAAACCTCCAGTGACAGAGAGCCCACCACTTTCCAGTGCAGTCTGTTCCACTGACAGCCACCTTGTGCCATCAGGAAGTTATTTATAATGTGTTGTCTAAGTTCTTTCTTCCCTTGTTAGTTGAACCCGTTGCTTAGGGTCTTACTGCCTGGAGCCACAAAAAGCAAATTTGCTCCATCACTTTTGTAACTCCTCTTCAAATATGTGAAGATGCCTATTGGACCACCTCTTAATCATCCGTCCTACAGACTAAATGGGAACAGGAGGGCAGTCCTTTCCAGGCACTTTTCCCATAGTGCTCAAGACTCCAGTGTCCAGACAAGAGCAGTACAGTTTTGGCACTCTCTGAGAACAGAGTGTCTTTTCCTTTTGGGTTCTTATGCTGAGTTCCCCTTTTATTGAATGTCTTTGCTGGTTTCCCATTCTTTGTTTCTGCCCAGTGCTCTTTTGATTAATTAGTTATTTGGCCAATAGTTTTGCATACTATGTTTCAATTGCTGTTTTGGATTGTTGCTTGGCAACCTTGGTTGGCTAAGACTTTTCCCATGTATGTGCAACAATGGGTGCACAGATATCATACAGAGAGTTTGCGTCTTAATTAATACACATATAAACTAAAGTACAGTGGTACCTCAGGTTAAGAACTTAATTCTTTCTGGAGGTCTGTTCTTAACCTGAAACTGTTCTTAACTTGAGGTACCACTTTAGCTAATGGGGCCTCCCGCTGCCTCCACACAATTTCTGTTCTCATCCTGAAGCAAAGTTCTTAACCCGAGGTACTATTTCTGGGTTAGCGGAGTCTGTAACCTGAAGCGTCTGTAACCTGAGGTACCACTGTAGGATGCTTTTCTTAAGAAGCATGGGTCTGATCACATTCTGTTTCAAATCAGTTTCACTGAAATGCAATTTAGGCCACCAAAGGAGAGGAGGATAACAGAACAGAAGAAGGCTGCTGCATCAGGACAATGACCCCTCTAGTCCAGCATCCTGTTCTCAGAGTGGTCAACCAGATAGTCCAATCTGCAGGCAGGGCCCAAGAGCCCTCTCCCCTCCTGTGGTTTCCAGCAACTGGTATTCAGAAGCCACACTGCCTCCAACTGAAGAGACAGAGCACAGCCATCATGGCTAGTAGTCATCATGACTAGTAGCCATTCATTCTTCCATGAATTTGTCTAATCCTCTTTTAAAGCTATCTAGTGGCCATCACTGACTCCTGTGGAAGTGATGAGACATTTCATTCCTCATTATATTTTATCCCATGGAGATACACACAAGGAATAATGATTTTTGTTGCCAACTTCTATAGACATTGGTTTTGTTCAGAAGAGACTGGAAGTCCCCTAGTGGATGGTCCAACTACATCATAAAGTCACTGGCACCTAGGGATGGAGGGATGGTATAACTTTGGTATCTGCTAGTTTCTCAATTTTCCAATCTTAAATTGAATTTGCCAAATTTCTGCATCAAGTTGCAATGGTCTTTATTTTTTAAAAAAATTCTCATGAAAACCCATCAGCATTTTACTGCACATTTTCTGCAATATGCATATTTTAATGTGATTTTGCCTAATATACCCAAATTTGCAAACAACTTCACCTAATATAATACATTTTTTATATTACTTTCACTAATGTGCTCATGCAACTGGACACTACTGGAGATTTGCATCACAACATTCAGAGAAATGCAAATTTTGAAGGATGGCTGTGTTTTGGTTCACACATTGTTTTAGAAAGTGTAGATTTAGTAAGGTTCACACTAAAACCCATGCTTACTGCAAACATAACAGCTTCATAATTTTTTTGAGCACATATGCCTGGGCATGGCCAGAAAATTGCATACAACCTTTAGAGAAAGTTGAAATAACAAATAATAGCAATATCTGTTACATGTTTTGGAAAGAATTATGGGTGAGCCCAAAAAAAGTTATTGCACCTCAGCTGAAATTTCGTGAGGCCTCCAGGGGGAAGTTAAATTGTTTTGAGAGCCAGATCAGGTTCACAGATTGGTAGTGATCATCCTTAACCTAGTTGTACAGAAACCCACAAAGAATGGTCTATTTGTAAGAGCTTTCAGAAACTGAGACTTGACTTTCATATCTTCTTGTTTGTCATTGCAGTACCTCCCAAAATTGTTGAGATCTCTTCGGACATCTCCATCAATGAAGGTGGCAATGTCAGTCTCACCTGCATAGCTATGGGCAGGCCGGACCCTACAATCACTTGGAGACATATCTCACCCAAAGGTAAGATACTCTAAGAAGATGTATCTCCCTGTTATAGATGATGGGACTTCCCCTTGTCAGACATGTCATACTTTGGTGGGGATCTTAGATCTGGCACTGCACGTGGTGCTCTGCATTTGATGATGATATGATGATGATGATGATGACTGAGAACAAACTGCAAACAGTCACTCTGACCTGGAAATACCTACTGTCCACATGGATGAACGTTGCCTAGGGCACACACTGTGCAAAGGCTTTATGTGTCCAATTCAAATATGTGGAAGGAACAGCATCCATTTTCTTATGGTATATCATGTGGTTGAATGCTGCTCCACGAAAAAGGGATTTCTGCCTATGAAAAGTTAAAAAGTTGGGGATTTTAGCCTAGCCTTCTCTCTGATCCACCCACTTTCCAGACACAAGGGGTTTGCTTGTTTGTTTGTTTCAACTTGAGGAATATTGATGCATGCATTCACTCAACTTCCAGTCTGAGGTGGTACAGTGTGAGAATGGCTGTGTCATCTCCTATTGCTGCTTGTTTGAATCAGTTCTGAGTCCAGGAAGGAGGAATTAAAAACACTCTCACACAAGTCATTCTAGCTCTCATGCTGCTCTGCCTCGTTACAGGGATGTATTGTATAGCTCCACCCCTGGCATCTCTATGTGCAGTGTAAACATCAGTAGTGAAGGAGTGGGGGCAGCGCATCCCATTTCACCGCTTGATGCAAAACAGGAAGTGCTGCCATGTCCTACCACTGCCACCATCCCTGCTGCTGCTGCCACCTTCTCCTCCACTGCCTGCTCTGTGGCTGCATGCCCTGCCAGAGAAGCCACACCACCATTGGTGCTCATTTTGGGTAAGATCACACTGATTTGGGAGGAGATCTTGAATCTCACTTGACTCAGGCAAGATCTCACCCATAATGGACACAATCTTGCCTCTTCTCCACTGTTAGCAGAAGTTGTGGAGCAGGAGGGCACCCTCAAGGGTGCTGCCTCAAAGGTTTCTGCTTCTTGAAGCAGTGGCTGTTTAGTAATTTAATTCACTGAAATTGTAAGTGCTTATATGCATTACTATGTGTTTAAATTTGATTGGTTGGTAACCGAATTCTAGTAGTTCTCATGATTGGCTAACGTTGGTCACATGGGACCAGTGAAGGAGAGAATCCATTTTATGTGAAACAAGTTGACTGTGTTTTAGAATCCACTGTGAACACTGCTAAGTTGAATAGAAAGTTGGAGTGTTTCTTCTCTGCTTGAAAGAAAGACAGCAAAACTGCAGGAGAAGGTAAAAGTCAAAATCCCTTATAGGAGCTTCAAGGCATGGCCTAATTGAGATACAGAAGGCTGAGTGCTGAGCTCCGGAAAGAGAGGAAAATAAAGTTGTTTGGAAGTTAGAAGAAAAGCCTGTAAACCTATGTTTGGCTGAGCACGTGACTGTAGATATTGTGTTTTAATTCATCTATAACTATATGCAAGTAAAGCTTTTGAATGTTAAAGTCTGGACACTGGTTTAACTTCCAAAGAAGGCTGTCAGTCATATATATGATTTAAGCTTCTTAGTCGTGTTTTCTCTATTCTTAATTCAGCAGTGACATCACCCTAACTAATGGCTGGGTCAGTTCTGTGACATGCAGGGGGACATGCAAATACATCAATGTAACATGGAACTATGTGTGGTCATGGTTCTGAGTTGTATTGATGCTGAGGTTTCCCTTGCTGTAGATGTATCTGTACAGACACCTGGCAGGGCTGCTTGGCATGCCCCAACTCCCATGTACACAAAGGAAAAGCTGTGTTGGGTCAAAGTCTGAACAACATAACCCACAAGCATAGATTTCAACACAATTGCCACCAATCTTTGCCTAAACTCCAATTTCAGAGTGAATCTGCAGGTTCTTGCTTGGATGAGGCATCATCATGGATTCCAGAGGGATCCAAATACTGCAGCATGGACATTTAGGGTAAATGGAGCCCAGCACCCCACCCAACCTCAATCACCCCCGCCTGCCTGGATTCCTACGTACAAGTCCTGGGTGTGCTGCTGCCTGCCAACTTCCTCTTCCTCAGTCTCATTGTTGTGAAATTCAGCAGGATCGGAACAAATTTAGAATTAGCTGGCTGTGCCTGCCGTTGCCTCTGGCGCCACCTGCTGCCAGGTTCCCTGTCTTCCACCCTACCAATTCCAGCAGGCACCAGCCACCACCAAAGCCCAAAGAGTTTTGATTAGACTATTGCAATTTTACAGGATGCTTACTACCCATCTTATTGTTGTGTCAACCCATCTAACTCCAATCAGGCCCTCTGCCTGTTTCCTGTTACCTCTGCCACCCTCATCAACAGTTCAAGGCCCCGTCTGCCACCCACGGGGTTTCGCTCCAGCTGGCCTGTGATGCTGTCAGGTGTTGCTTCTGCTGCTGCTCACTTTTCTGCAAGGATGTTTTATTTCTCTGCTGTCAACCAGCCAGTTCCTTTTTCCCCCAAGGGAGCTTTACCTGAGTTTGAACCAGATGTCTCCATTTTACTTAGGATTTAGCTGCTATGGAAACAGCCGAAGCATCAAGGGGAGAGGAGCAAGCTAATCAGAAATTACCTGCAGGGTTAGGTAATTTACTGGAGCAGCTTTCGCCAGATTTCATGTCCAGATTACATGCTCTGCATTAGCAGCCTGGTCACCCTCAAAGATCGGTCGACACAGGTTTCTCTTTTCCCACTCAGCCTGCCGGATCCAGAGGTGGCATCCGGGAGAACGGCAAAATGTTTCCTTCCTTTGCAATGCATTTGCCGAGCAATTCAGTGTAATTGTCATCAGAGTCCTGCAAAACCTACGGTCCCCAGGAGACAAACTGCCTCCTCCAGCAAATTCCATCTGAACCAGTAGAGATGAAACTGCGGGACCCAAATAAATTGCCCACCATCCCATCATCACCACAGTGGCCAATCCCATATTCAGGCACCACTTAGTTCCTGGGATGTGAACTGCTGTATGCAGAAAGATTATTTTAAAGGTTGGCTTCCCAGAGATGTGCCCAATTGCAACCCTGCCCACCACACACCTGCCTTCTCACAAGCAGGCCGTTGCGGGAACAATAAGGACCTTTGATTTTTCACTATGCGATTCCAAACCATGGCTTTGCATTTCATGCATGCTATTTTCTATGAGGGCAAACTGCACTCCCTTTGGCAAGAGAGATCTGTTCCCTGCCCCCAGCAGTTTGCTAAGTGGGGGAGAAGAGAGAAAGAAAAAGTGAGATAGGCAGCACACACCGACATTTGCTCTAGCCCCACCCAACACTGAGTTCAGACCCGCTCACCGTGGTAATGCAGCCTCTGACAGATGACCCTACAATGGAATTCAGCTCTTGAAAAAAGTTACCAACACTTGGGCAAAAAGTAGTGCAATCGATGTCTGAATCATTGTTGACCATGTATTATCTGCATGTGTTACAGGCCACATGTGCCCTAAAAAGGATGAGGCACAATAGAAGCAAAATGAGAATCTTATTTAAAGACATTTGATTAGGGTTAAAGCTTAACTAGCTGCAATACTATGTTTCAGGCAGAAACCCTTTATGGAAAGAATTAAGAACGTTACTTAGAACTTCCACTTTAAGGTTGTTTCTAATTAAACTGATTGCTTGTAGGGCTTGTCCTCACTTCCACTTCTCCCACACTTCCTAGGCACAGGCCCAAGTAGGTTTGTCCTTGCCTGGCCAGTTTTTCTGCGAAGACCTGCTCTTTAGCAATAAATCAGAGCAAACATCAATATAAAGGAAACCCAATTGATATTTGTTCCAATTCAGTGGTAAAGATTGGGTTACCTTGCGGGAACCCGGTGGGGCAAGGATGAGCCCCTAGAATGGCTGTTTCTCCTCGGTGGCATGTGGCCAGTAGACTAGGGGGACTAGGCTAGTTCCCTAAATGTTCCTGATAAATTAGATTACCAAAATATTGAAGCCTGGTACCTCCTTCCCAAAGCCCAGGAAGCTTCTGCTCGGTTTAGGAAGGGAGGCACAATGCTCTGACAGGGTCCAAGAGCCCTCCCACCACTTTCCCAAAGCCCACACAGCTTTGGGAAGGAGGCAGGGGATCTCCAGCATCCTGTCAGAGGCCTGGGTGGAATCTACACACATATAAAAAAATGCTGTGAAAATGCTTTTTTTTAAAAAAAAAAAAACGTTTTGAAAAATACATTGAATTTTGCATAGCTCACTTTCGTCATCTAGTGTCACGTTTGTATATTGCACTTTACAACACATTTGAAACGTTTTACTTGCAGCTGTATAGCTGAGAAATGCAGCTCCTTCCCAAAGTCCAGAATGCTTCTGCCCAGCTTAAGAGGAAGGTGTGATACTCACACATGCAGCATCCCCCCCATCACTCTTGCGAGCTGGCGCCTCTGGCCCTAACTGTTCCCTTATGGAAAAAATTCACCACACACCACTGTTTCTCCTATTAAACCATTAAAACACTTCCAGCCCCCTTTTAGGCTCTCTTCCTTCTCCCCAGAGAAATATCTGAGATGCTCTGCCTAGCAAACCCATAAACACCCAGCTAATCCCTAGCCAATTCTCCATACTTAGCTTCTAATGGAGAAAACGTTTAGGTGCCTTTATCTTTTCTGTTTATGAGATGAAAAGCAGATCAGGGGAGGGCTATTGGGAGTGCCAAAACATACAGGAGGGGGAGAAAAATATATACCCACCCCCACAACATTGCCATGCTTCTCTCATTTCTCCACTGGAACTGATAGGTCTGTCTTTGTTGGATTGTTCTGATCTTTTTAAAAAGCCACTTAAGCTAATGGCCATGGCAGCATTCTGTTGCAATCACATTTCTAGGTTAATTTCACATTATACAAAGAAGTGCATCCTTTGTCTGTCCCGTGCCTGCTGTTGATGGTTTTCATTGAAGGGCCCCCAACCTCTCATGTTTCAAGAAGGAAAGAGAGTGGGAGAAGAAACCACCAAATCCATAACAAATGCTTATGAAGAAGCATAGGCATGGGTGGATTCCTT